GTGTGTGTGTGTGTGTGTGTGTGTGTGTGTGTGTGTGCGTTTCCGGGGCGCCGGTCGAGAAGCTTGAGTAACGGAAAATAGAATATTGATACGTTTTGCTAGTACATATGTTCCCATCGGCTTATTCATGATGTCAGAGCGCAGGCGGCGAATGACAGCCGTGGCTGCTCACCCATCAGCCATTTCAGAAAGCAAGGCACTTGCGCGCGCGGGTGTGAGTTTCACCCTGATGTAGTGAAAGGTCACATCCCTCTAGGTACTACCTCCCTCGAACCGAAGTGAAAGATTGTCTATCTTAAACGTCTCCTCTACCGAGTGCCAAGCGAGATCCACCAAACAGTATATCATTTTGTCGTGATAGCATAGCGAAGATGACAGGCTACCAGTAACCCATTCGTTAGTGCTGTACAATGTGATGGACAAGGATGAGCATTACCTTTATAGATATAGAACAATCAGCTTTGTCTTTGAAACGCTATGGAAGCTTGGACTGAATCGCTTGTAAAGCTTGCCCTCCTCTTGCTTTCCTTTGTCTTCCACAACACGCATGTGAAAAGAATCAACAAGTCTACATTTCACATAGATTCTATGCGCATCATGTATCGATCCACGAGAAGGAAAAGCATCTCTCACTTCCTGAAGACGTCTAGAGCTAAACGACAACCTCGAGATTATGTTGACAAGGGAATGCGAGAAGATGAACACCAATCTCAGGTCAGACTAAGCTCAACCGCAGTTCGCCGGGACGCTGAGCGGAGGCTCGATGCCATCATCTCAAGCCGCCAACCAGCTAATTCTTACAGCCCCGAGGAGTCTGGGCTCAGCTCACATGCAAAACAAACGAAGCTTTTCGAAACATCAGCCAAGGAAGCAATACACGCCGCCACTATACTTGATAATGCGCCTCCTTCCAAAGAAGGCAAAGAAACCCCCACCACCACGACCAAAGGTGGTCCTAGTACCTGTCAGTGCCAGCTTGCTGGATGTCTACGTTGTTTTCCCGGTGATGAGCACGGCATTCATTGTGGCGCATCCTCTTGCGAGGATTGCGCAGATCGTGGTCCAGGATTTGACGAATGGCATGTCTGCCAAACGGGCTCTGACAAAGATCTCTTCACGGACGGCGACGCTATCCTATCGCGTACTTACGACGGCCAGAAAAACGTCTTGTCCCTGGTTCTCTCGCGCAGAGTGTTCGAAGCCATGCGTAATTCTGTGATTGAGGGCCGCCGGTACCGAAAGACGAAGAGAGAAATCGACGCAGACCTGGAGAAGATCAATGATGACGCACAGCCAGCTTGGAACGAGTATACCGCTGCCATTAACGACCTCAAGGCAGCGAAATGGAACTCGCGTTTCAGGTCCGCATCTCGAATGCATGCAGAACGACGTAGTCTAAAAGAGGCAAAAGGAAGAGTTAGACGCGCGCAACTAGCGTATCGGAGTTTTAGGACGCGTGAACTACAGCTGAAGGGCAAGCTGCAGGATGCGGAGCGGAGATGGTTCGCTATCCTGAAAGATATGGACTATTACCAAGCCATGTTCCTGGAGCATGCTGGGTCGTTACCGCGGGATAAGGACAAAGGCTGGCCGTTGAAAGCCTACGATTACCATCACAGGATTCGGTCTCGACACTATGGGGACGGTGATGTCTATGACGGCGAGGATACCGACACTGATAGCTCTATCCAGTCTATCCAGGAAGCCACGACGCGCACGGGCGAAAAGGAAACTCCAGAGCAGGCTCAACGAGCGTACAACAAAGAACTCATTGATATCAAAGAAGAATGGGTGCAGCACCTTGCAGGTCTAGAGGCGAAACTCCAGTCTGCGAGGCAGCAGCATGACTATGCCCGAGGCACCCACGGACCCTTGTTGGATTTCTACTGCCAAGATAATCCCGATCGCGATCCAGAGGAACTGAAGGATGAATATGGCCCGCAATTTGTGCAGCTTACGCGTAAATATGTAACGATGATACAAGATGCAGAGGACGCATTAAAGAACGGAATAGCGGCGGCGAGAGCAGCTGGAATCGATCCATATGCGGAAAATGCGTACGACTTGCGTGGTGATGAGAAGTTCCAGGAGAGATTGGTCGCGGAAGACGCCGAAAAATGTATAGCAAATGTCGACCGCAGAAAGATCTCTCGATGGCTAGATAGCTTCCGAAGATACCAGCCATGGCCAGTATTGAAGCTGGACTCCGACGGTGGGTTCGGATCAGAGACTAGTTCCATAGCATCTGCATCGTCGACTGGAAGCTCAGACTCAGTAGGAAGTCATTTAGGTGATAGGGTAGGCTCGAGACCACCTCAACGCAGCCGCAAGAGGAACAATTTCATGGTAGGCGACGTAAATCTGGATAGCATCAGCGTGTTCAACGATGATGACTACATACGGCGACACATTGATAGTTGGGCGACCGAGAAGCGGGGTGGGTATCTGTGATCTATAGTCAAACAGCGATTAGGCCGTGTTTTTCGGGTCTGGACCTTTGGGTGGACGACGCATGATGCGTCGAACCCCGAAATCAGAATGTTTGTACTCTTCCGAACGGCTCGCGAAGCAATATCATTGATGTGGCCATAAATGTTCGCGAACGGCTGACGGGGAATTGGAACGACCTCTTGCTGGGAATCTGAAGGGAGATTGGCTCTGCATAGAGGGCGACGAATGAGAAGCAGCGGAGATAGATGTCGAGTACTGCGAGGTGTAGGCTCGTAACTGAGCCGCCCGACATGATACCGGGTGATGCTGTTCATGTCGTCTTCCCGTGATGTTGATAAAGTAAAAGGGATGTGGTGGCAGGACGCGCCTCAAAGGGAATAATGACGGCATCGAGCTAAAACCTTCGTCCGTGCTTTCGGCAAGCGCCGGAATCCCGAGTTCGGCACACGTTCCAAGCCTCACACCACATCTCACCACTTCAGCCTTGCACTCAGCCTGACGCTACTTCACATTCCAAATCGGTATCGGAATCTTCGCTAAACCTTCGGGGGTCGACACGTTCTCAACACTCAGGGGATGTGTTTACCGCTCAATCAGCCAGCTGTGTTGCATACCCCGAGCTGACCTCCCATTGTCACAGCGTCAAGTGTCGCGTCAAGACCCGAGTTGGCCAGCAGTTTGTATCCCCTTATGGTTCACTGGAAAAACTGTCAGCCTACGTAGTTGTGCATCTCCGGACGTCACGATAGATTTATTGAAAGAGGTTGGTTCTCTCAAGTAACGTACTCGCGATTGGACGGTCGCCCTTATGTCCGGCCCAAGGGAATTTATCGTTGTCCATACACCAGGTGTGGCTTCGCGTCGCGATTGGCTGTGCGCGTCGAAATTACGGTGAGATCGCATCCCTGCAAAATTGCAGGACACTTGCAGCATCGCTCGTAGGGCTGTGTGCTAGGGCTGACATCGAAACCTGACAACTGTTGGTGATACTGTTTCGTCCGGGAGCTACGTCTGCCGTTTTTCCCTATCGAGACATCGGCTCGACGAGCGTGCAGCGATTACCGCTACTCCTGTCGACTCATTGTGAGTTTTGCTGAACGTTACAGCACTTAGGTATGCAGGCACTGTGCGAGCGTTAGTCAGCGTCGTTTCCAGCACCATGGACGCAATGAGACATGCCCGGCGGCTCGGAACCGAGCTACCTGATGCATGTCCCATGCTCGCGGGGGAAAGTTGCCTATCAATGGAGAGTCGGCACACACCTCGGGCGCGCAGAGATACACAAACACCCACTGAAATCATTCTAGCCCGAACCCATCCTCGCGTGTATCCTAGTACGGCATCAATCTGTTCTCGAACCTCGCTGTGTTGCGCCCGTGTCCATTGCCCTTCCTGTAAACTGGACCGGGATGCAGAATGACCCATAGGTGTAGGTATACAGCTCCAAGATTACCATCCCATGAGCTGAACACGCAAATGGAACGTTTCACACGTCTGGGTGCTACTCCTGTCAGTCTGCAAAGAAACGCTTGATCAGGCCATCGCGAACGCCGCACGGTGATGGTACCAATATGTGAGAAGCGTCATAGCACCACCACCATATGCAGGCAGATTCGGCGAACAAGTTGCTCACCTCCAAACCATCACCAGATGACCGTTTACTGGTAATATGACAAGACAAGAAGTCGGTCAGGCTTCCAGCCGTAGTCATCTAGAATAGGCTAGCCGGCCGCCCCCAGGCTAATCTAGTTGCGCGCATTGGCCGTCTGAGCCGTTTCCAGAGAACGAGAGCCTCCCTACTGCGTCGCGTCCCAACCCAACACTCTTACTCGCCGTCAGTCCTTGTCGGCAGCTGAAGACGCAGGCCAGTGCAGCTGCAGCCGATCGCCGTTGTATCTGCCTCTCCGCTTGATGACGGCCGCGAGCATGGGTTCGGAAGCTCCGCGGCAAGCTGATTCGCAGCGGCATGGCGAGCGGGGGCCCTGCGGCAGCGCCGAGCAACGCCTCGTGTCTGACTGACCCACTTCTTTTCTTACAGGCTCTCGAAATACCACACCATACATGGCAGCTGTATGAAGCTTCATTGGGGGCTGAGAATTTCATCGTCATCCCAAATCATTTATTAACGACTGAGCCCCCAATGGACGCCGTACGCCCCAAGAAGCATAGCCAGCCCCTGAGCATTTGGGCCGCGGCACAGAATTGACAATGGCATCGAATGGTACTCACAACGACTTCATCAACATCACCACTCCACACTCTAGGGCGCCCAGCATGGTTCAAGATACACCTGCTTCTGCGCCACGGCCACGCTTGCCGGTCAGAAAACAAGCTCCCCAGAGGAACATCGACGAGTTCTGGAACAAATTCACGACCAAACACCCCGGTAAGATCTTTACGATCTTACCCGACAATCTGTATGCGAAACGTGCCGCCGCACATGCGCCGAGAGGGTCCATACCTGGGGTCAATGCGCTTGCATCATACGAGGAGGCCAAAGAAGCCTGCACCAGGAAGGTCGCAAAGATCGTCAAGGAGTGCCGACGACTGAACCAGAAATACAGAGATCCACATTTCGATATAGAGGCCGACTTCAAACGGTCGCAGCTTATTCCAGACACTCCCGCCGACTGCTTGACTGGGCTCAATGAAGAGAATGCCGACTTCCATCCCTTGTCGGTTAAGAGAGTCGAGGTATGTATTACCACCCCACTATCGTCGCATGCCTAACTCGTCACAGGATATCTTCGATGAACCACGATTTTTCATCGAAGGCGCCACCGCGAACGATGTACGACAGGGCAATGACGGTGACTGCTGGTTCATGTCGGCACTGGCGACGATCTCGAACAAGGAAGAATTGATACAGCGGGTGTGCGTTGCGCGCGATGAGCAGGTTGGCGTGTACGGATTTGTCTTCCATAGAGGTAAAGACATGACTATATAGTCGGGTAGCTCACAAGCTGACTTATCTCAGATGGCGAATGGATATCCGAGGTCATCGACGACAAGCTATATCTCATCAAGGAGGACTTTGACGAAGCAAAACTTGAGCGCTCCCACTGGTTGGAACTTCAGAACCGGAAAAGCCCCGAAGATGAATACCGGACTGTCATGCAAACCGGTTCCAGGGCCCTGTACTTCGCGCAATGCAGCGATCCCAATGAAACGTGGCTGCCACTGCTGGAAAAGGCTTTTGCCAAAGCACACGGCGACTACAGTGCCATTAATGGCGGCTTTGTAGGCGAAGGTATCGAGGACCTGACTGGAGGCGTCACGTCTGAAATCTTCGCAACCGACATCTTGGATAAGGACAAGTTCTGGCACGAAGAGCTCATGAACGTCAATAAGACGTTTCTCTTCGGATGTGGCCAGATGGGCGGTATCTACGGCGCTCGCAAAGGGATCCAGGAGAAACATGCATACTCCGTCATGGAAGCACGCGAGATTGATGGCCAGCGCCTGCTGAAGCTTCGGAACCCCTGGGGCCGCACCGAGTGGACTGGTCGCTGGAGCGACGGTTCAGAAGAATGGACTCCAGAATGGATGAAGAAGCTCGACCACAAATTTGGGGACGACGGTGTCTTCTGGATCTCGTACAAGGACCTTCTGCGTACCTACCAGCATTTCGACCGTACACGACTGTTCGGTCCGGAATGGACGGTTTCCCAGCAGTGGACAAGTGTCAACGTTCCGTGGAGCGTCGACTACCTCGACACCAAATTCAAGATACATCTCGCGAAGGGCGGCCCCGTAGTCATCGTGCTTAGCCAGCTTGATGATCGCTACTACCAAGGTCTGGAGGGTCAGTATGAGTTCAACCTACAGTTCCGGCTCCACAAAGACGACGAAGAAGAGTACATCGTTCGCAGCAACGGTACATACTACATGACGCGCTCTGTCTCTACCGAGCTGGATCTTGAGCCTGGTAATTACACCGTCCTGCTCAAGATCAAAGCAACCAGGATTCCTGACAATCCGACACCTGATGAAGTCATTCGGATGACCTGTACCAAACGGCGCGAGAAACTGCTATCGATCGGGCTATCCTACGACCTCGCGCATGCCAAAGGACACTTCCGGGAGCAAGAAGAAGACAAGGCCAAACGTCACAAAGAGGAGAAAGTTGAGCGCAAGAAGGCCGAGATGAAGCAAGCTCATCAACGCCGTAAGAGATTACGCCAAAAGGCTGAGCTGCGTGACCTGAAGAAAGCTGCGAAAGAGACGCGCAAACTCAATCGATCTGGCGACATGGCAGAAGTCGAGAGGAAGCTCGAAAGTCTATCTGGTCTTGGAATAAATGTCGAGGAAGATAACCGCACTTCCGGCGACGAGGACGCTAAGCCTGTTCACCAAGCAGTCTCCAGGCACCATCGTGCATCGAGCCTTGACCCACTCCGTGAGCGCTCGGCTAGTCCAGGTGGCGGTTTTGGCGGCCGGAGCGGATACAACAAAGGTCGTGATGGCTACAATGCATCGCTTCCCGGAGCATTGCAGGGTCGTGGTGGCTACAACCGCGACAGCAATGGCTCTGCGATCTCTGAAGCTGCAATCCTTCAAGGACGTGGTGGATACCACCACAGCCCCCAACCTTCTCCTGCGACCCATAGTCAAGGCTTCCAAGGGCGCGGAGGCTACAATCAGAATATGCCTGGAGAGCTACATGGTAGAGGAGGGTACAACCAGAATATGCCTGGTGAGTTGCAAGGCAGAGGGGGGTACAACCAGAATATGCCAGGAGATCTCCAGGGCCGCGGAGGTTACAATCAAAACATACCTGGGGAGCTTCACGGTCGCGGTGGCTACAACATCGACCTTCCTGGCGCATACCAAGGTCGCGACGGATACAACGAAGGCCAGATGACGGATTCGCCTATACCCACGCCATTGCCGACGCCTATCCCCACGCCGCTGACTGATGAGTTTCGCCCTGGAACGCCCGGTCAAAGGACATATAGTCCGCGTCCTGAGCACCGACCATCAACTGGCGTTCGCCGGGCTACACTCACCCCCATCCCGGGTATCCGACCCGGTATTCAAGTCACTCGCGGACGAAGTGCTAGCGAATACTCCCACCGCGCTCAGCACGGAATGCACTCGCCCGACGATATGTCCGACGACTCCTGGGATTCTGATCTCGATGGCCCCTGCTCGCTCGACTCAGATCTCTCCGACGATGAAGACAACATTCCGCGCATGTTCTCCGACCGCCAGCGCTATGTCTACAACAACACGCGCTACCCCTACCTTGAAGAAGAAGACGAGTTCGAGCGCGACCCCTGGAACGCTGTGTGCGTCGTCGGTCTCCGCGTCTTCAGTAAAGACAACACCGACGTCACCATCGAAGTGCACAACAGTGAGGGCGAGACCAAGAAGAAGTCCGATGGCGACGATGCAAGTGTAGCAAGCATGGGTACGATCAGACGCAAGGAAAAGGAACTCGATGTTGATGATAGTGCGGCAGATGCGACGAGTCCGATGCGCAAGAGGAATACTGGTCTGGATGATGCGCTTGATTCTAAATTGAATCGGGCCGATGAAGCGGAGCTCGTGAGCCAAATTGGCACTGCGCCGGCAGGCATGGAGAGGAGTCGCCAGGGGACATTGAGCTGAGCGAAATGGGAGCGTACCTTGGTATTATCGGGGTTCGATCAAGATGAGAACGTACAATTCGGAGTTCGGTTGCTTCCAGATTGATAACGCTTTGGCTAGACTTTTGTTGTTGATTTGTCGATGGTGGGTATGGTCTTTAGAAGTCACGTGGAGTTAAATAGCGCAGCAATTCGATCCGCAGTGTTTGACTGCAAATATACATGCTCTTCATGTCTCCCATTTAACTATCATGATATACCCAACTCGCGCGTGCATAACAAATTCCTTGCGCGTGCTTTCTCGATGGATTCGTGGCACGAGTGAAAGGGGTCGGTGATGTCATAGCGCGAGGCTTAGCAGCATCCGCTGCAGCCTCACTGCGGCCTTCGCGCTTTCCTCATCCTCGACAAACCATCACACCATCCCACACTACGCTCCTCGTTCATGTTCACCGTCTGTTCTTCCACGTTGGCTGGCAATATTTCACTACCTGTCATCTTCATGTCGTCGTAGACCCAGGATGCCTTCGTCAGCGTTCGCGATGCCTTCCCCTCCAACAGCTGAACAACTTTCAGACGTTATTGTCGTTTCGTGGGCTTAGCTTTCAGAGCCCCCTTGGGTGGCTACGCATGCCCTGCCCATCATGTATGGATAGAGTTAGAGCTGCTGTGGGTGTATTGCTGTGCCTCATGCCCGCAATTTGGTGGGGTCGAAATTGCCCCTCATTGCTGTTCAGAGGCATCACCGCCCTTTCTTCTCTGTTTTTTACTCTATATGTTATTATGAAGTTCTGTCAAAGATGTGCTCAACTCGAGATCACTCCCGAAAGCTTCTTTGTACTCGCAGATGGTGAGAAGCCATGTCACCGACACAAATGCGGCGTTTCGCTGAAGCCGCTGGAATGCGACATATGTCACCTCACTTCGGAATTATTGGAAGCGACTGTTCTTCGCGGAACGTCTCGCAACGCTACTGACGATGATCTCAGAATCTGTATTAGCGGATCTTACACGGAGGTGGAGACACATGCTGGGTTAAGAATACAGCCCCGGATTGCGCTGGATTTTGATGACCTGGATTTGGTTGGTGGGATCCTACCGGCTGCAAAGAACACTACGAAATACCCCTACTTCAGTCGCCTGCTTCCCCAAACCCCTTCGTTCCTGGACTTCGATCTAATTCGACATTGGATCGCTCGCTGCGAAACCCAACACCCCCATTGTCGACAGCGATCAGCATCGGAAAGCGATATCTCGAACGAGGGGCTTCTCGTCATTGACGTCTTACACAAATGTCTTGTTCCCGCGCCCGAGACCTGCCGCTACATAGCTCTCAGTTATGTGTGGGGAAATGCTACTCAAGTGCAACTCAGAAAAGACAATCTCCTTGAGCTTTCACGAAAAGATAGTCTATCTGATGCACGCATTCCTGCCACAATTCGCGATGCCATGACATTGGTCGAGAAGTTGGGCGAAAGGTACCTCTGGGTTGATGCTCTTTGTATCGTGTCCGATGATGCTGCTATAAGGCAAGCAGCGATCTCCAACATGGACAACATCTATTCTGGGTCCATACTTACCATCGTTGCGGGTACCTGCAATAGCGCCGACGATGCACTCAGAGGCGTGAGCACCAAACGCCACTGTAAGCAGGTTACCCGCGAGATATCCCCGGAGGTGACGCTTCTAGCATATTTCGACGTTGAGTACTTCTTTAGAAAGACAACGTATTGTAAACGAGCGTGGACGTATGTAAGCCTGCATCAATAGACACCCGAGACCAGCTCACGCAGATTAGATTCCAAGAGTTCCAGCTGGCACCTCGTCTACTGGTCTTCGCGCCTAATGATCAGGTCTACTTTCTCTGTGACGAAGCCAGTTACACCGAAGACGGCCCAGAAGAATATGAGCCACAATACGCGTCGGATAGGCTGCGCGTATCTAAGGAAAAAGCCGAATTTACCTTTTCTCTTAAAAGACGTATACGTGGCCACCTTCCCCATACTAATTACCGATGGGCATTGTCAAAATATAACCGACTGAAAATTACGAAGAACGAAGACATATTGGATGCCTTGTCGGGTGTGATAAAGAGAATTGGAGTTGGAGAATGCTTTCAGGGCCTGCCCGTTGATTACTTCGACCACGCCCTTTTTTGGCAGGGCTCTAGGCTAAAGAAGCGACGCCAAGAATTTCCCAGCTGGACCTGGGCTGGTTGGAGTGGTGGTTTGACTTACGTCAGCGAAGAACTTGATTATGTACACCTGCATGGAGATGCAGAACGATATCCGAATGACGAGCATCGAGAATGGGTGCACAAGGCCTCGGAGATGGAACTTATGCAACTATACCTGAAGCATGCAACCTGGATAGTCTATTACGTCTGGGACAACCAAAACTCTGGACATGAACCTCGATGGCTTCGCGGCGGAAGGCCTAATGATGGTGTCAGTTCCGCTACTGAGGCACACGAGGCTAGATTTCCAGGACTGCCATGCAACACCCTTCCCTTCAAGTCATATCGTCATTCCTTCGATCAGACACCGCTCGCGATTCGCACAAAGTTGCCATTACTACATTTCTGGACAGTTTCGGTTTATTACGAGGTTCGCCACAATACAGAAGGCAGGGGAGGCGAGTTGTTGGACTCAGAGAGCAATCCAGTCGGAAGTTGCGATTTCGACCGTAGGCCCGATTTAGAAGACGTGGACACACCTCGGTCATGTCACGAGTTCATCGTTATCTACGAAGAGGGAGATCTGAGCTACGAACGGTGGAGGAGCAGCTCTTACATTCCTTCCAAGAAGTACAGAGTCATTATGATTGAGTGGAACGGGGATATCGCCGAGAGGATTGGATCTGGCTATCTCCAGCTAGAAGGCGTGTTCAAGTCGTGTCGCAGACCGATGAAGTGGAAAGAGATTGTACTAGGATAAACTGCTTTCTGGCGCTGTTCGGAGTCGTTAAGTCGACCCAAGTATATAGTGACATCAATCACTAGCGTCGTCGTTGGAAAGACCACGAATACAACACCCACATATGCTGGACATTCGATATGGTCTTACATGATGGATTAGTTCATTATACCAACCTAGGAAAAAACTGAACACCCTAGAGTCTACGTTGACGTTAGGTCGCCTACTTTGCAAGCTTTTGTATTAATGTACTCTGCAGACCTGTTTAGTCTTTTTCATGTATAAGGTAGTAGATTTGTTCATGACAATGTCATGCAAGATGACGCCATATTCTAGCGCACGAAAACTCTCACAAGCACGTCGACCTAGGGAAAAAGCGAACAACCTGGGTTCTACATCGATGTTAAGACACCTACCTTGCATGGACTCATCTTGATGTAGTCTGCAGGCCTGTTTAAGTTTTTCCTTATATGAGTTGCAAAGGCCAACGGCGGCTTTTGCGGGACTCTCAAGAACTCACATCACGGCAAGACAAGCGTGCTTTCAAAGGAGTGACTGGTATTCTTTCTAAATGAGTGACTAACTAGAGATCTCGTGAGAGACCAAAAGTCGAAGCAGCGCGGAAATCAAAACGCAAGGCAGGGATCGAGACGGTGAAAGGGAAACGGGCATGGTGTGGGCAGGGAAAGGGGGGGTGGGGCGGTAAGAGATCGCAAAGGACAATGAACAAAGGAAATGAAAGGAGATGTGGGCAGGACGGGGCAGGGGGAGGGGGAGCGAGCGAGGCGGTGGATGCGCGAACATAGGAAATAAGGGAGGGGTTGAAGCGGACGAAGAGTCGACAGATATGGTGGCAGAAAGAAGGAGAGCCAGAAACGAGGTCAAGGGAAGCTGCCCTGGCTACTAGCTACGAAGACCAGCCAGACAACTAGAGGTAGAACATCTTGTCGTCAAGCTGTGGCATCCAAGGGTTCTTCCGATCTGGCTGCGTTCCTACGCGCGCTTCCACTACGCCGTAATCAAGCAGATACTCGTTCATCATATCCGCCATCTTTTGATCGTTTTGTAATGTCTCTTCGTCGGAGAACCTCAATCGTCGCTGCACGCTCGAAAGCTGGTCGTACCGGTTTGTGGTAGCGAAAAGGAAGTAGTCGTACATTCGCTTGGCGAGCTTCTGGGCGTAATGGACCGGAAGTGCGATAGCAATCTTGGCATCCTTCTGCTGGAAGTTCGAGTTGAGACGGCTCGTGAGGGACTTGCATTGATCGCCAGTGAGAACGTTGCTGGGTGGAGCCCGGACATAGTACTGGTACTTGTGTCCAACTTCTCCGGCACTGTCGGCGATGTTGAACTCATACGCAGCCTTCTTGGAGGATTCTCCGCTGGAGGCGGTGCGGTAGGGCGAGAAAACGTGCGCATTCTTGTTGACCAGTACATAGTCGAACGTGGCAGCGTTACCATCTTCCCAGGTGAAAGCCCTGCAGGTACGACCGATCGCAGCGGTTTCCTCCATCGCGGTGTTTTCGTTGTTGGACTGATTGCTATGGCGGTAAAAGACGATGTGTGGCGCGTGCGTGCGTCCCTGCTTCGCGATCCAAGCCTCGATACGTTCGAGCATCATGCTCTCAAGATCGACAATCTGTGATTGGACTTCGTACTTCAATTTAGAGGTCTCCCGGTCGTTGTTCCAGTCGGTAGCCTCCAACGTAGCCTGTAGTCGCGCGCTACCCGTGTAGTGCACCAGTGCTTCGTCAACACTACCAACAAGAGCGGCGACCGAGGGGCAACTAGCGGCCGCATCGGATCCAGCATGTGATATATGAGCGCCTACAATCATGAATTTCTTGTCGGGCAGGTCCAAACTGGGCAGATTTGGGGCGACGAAATTGGGGTTGCCATGCAAAGCATTCAGCTGCTGAAGAATGCCGAGAGGAAGACGAGTAAGGATTCCAGATGTCTTGTCGTTCCGAAGCTCCAGGTGCTTTCTACTGACACAAAGCACGACTGCGCCAAGCTTCCTGTTGCCGAACTTTTGCAGCTCTGCCCGGACGTAGTGGATCTCCTGCTTGCTCCGACCGCGCTCGTCTATCACGGCGATGATGGTGTCAACTTTTCCGTCGTAGAACGCTTTGATTTCCTCGGTAGTGTATTCAGGCAGTAGAAGAAGCGACTTGATGTCGGGAATCGAAGCGATAGGGCTCGTGTTCGGTGACTCTATATCGAGAATCTGATGATCTCGGTCTAATGCCGCATGGCTTCCCAATAGCCTGACAAGCGACTTCGCGAAGCTTTCGAAGCCTGCGGAGCGCATTCCGGTGAGTCGAACATAGATGATACCGCATTTGATCTTGGCGCCAGTCTTAGGTCCTTTCACAGACTTGCGATCGACGCGTTCGGTGCCGTTCGAGGGGAGCTTGAGCGTCTCCATATCTCCAATATTTCCGTCTACAAGCAGCTTCATACCCTGCTAATGCGTTAGCACTTCGTTTTTTTCTATAGGCAACATTTTTATGTCAACTTACCTCGTGGCGCTTGCGCATGTCCTCCATTTGACTGTTGAGGAATTCGACCAAGTACCTCTCATTTTCAGCCAGGTTATATTTCGCTCGAAGTCCATCTAGCGAAGCTATCACGTGGCCTACAGCTGGAACCTGCTGTACTGAAGCTGCTTCCCCGGGCGTCTTGAGGAATTCGAGTGGCACCCAGGTGTCTTTCCCGATATTGGCGAGCGGCGATCCGGGGAGCTTGGTTTCCTTCAGTTCGGGGTATGCTACAATGATGTGTCAGTCGGAGCCGTGTCTTGATCAAAGTCGCAAAACTTACTTTTGAAGAGATACTGAGTAACTGTCAATCTCTCGCCATCCTTCCAGAAGCCCGGAACTCGAGACGCCGGCTGCAGATCGATAATAACGGACTCTGGGAAGCTCGGAGTGGAGCTTGATGCATTGCTACTGCCTCCCAAGCCGGCTTTTGTTGTTGCACGTGAGTTTGTTCGAGAAGTAGACATAGGCGACAAAGCAGCACGCTTGCTTTTGCTTGAGGGACTGTACTCCATAGATCCGCTGTCGTGTGATATACCAGTCGCTTGACCCGATGAGCTGGAACCTGATTGAGACCTCGGTCGGTATTTGAGGACGACGGCAAGACCTATCAGCATCGTCCTGACGTTCTGGAAGAGTTGAGTGTTGCCCCTATCGAGTGAGCCGGGACCGAATGTTCTCGCGATTAGTTCAGATAGATCCGCGGCACCCTTGATGCCAGGAACAAGATCGACCTCAGCGCGAAGCTTTCGGTGATCAGGATCGAGCTTCAACGTTGTTCGAAACAGAACCTTGAGTTGCTCAGCTCTGTTGATGGTGGTCTGAAAGTTCGGGAATCGGGCGGGGGTGGCTTCTTTCTCGTTCGTTCGTTTGATGGCTTCTTGGAGTAAAGTACCCATCTCGAATCCCGTTGAACGGCTGTCGTCCTTGGAGGAAACGGTGGGGCCAAACTTGCGCACAAGAAGCTCTACCTTTTTCCAGTATCCTGTGCGATCGGTGCCTTTTGGTGATAGTGTCTCTGCATTAGAAAAGTCCAGTTCGCAATAGATAGCGTCTTGTATCGCTGTACCAGCGGATACCTTGACTCTCGCGAACGTATTTTTCAGGGCGTGCTTCGGCTCGATTTGGAGACGCTCCACGCTACGTTGATCGGATTCGAAGAAAACGAGCTCGTCGATAGGCCAGACTACCCCATCGGCGTTTCCTTGTGTGTCGACGCTCTTTCGGGCCCAGAGTTGAAGTGCGCAGCGGTTGTGGAGGTCATACTTGGTGAGGTACTCAGTAATGGCCTTGCGCCGCAATTTCTGGCTTATGATGGGAGATATCTGTTTGCTTGTCTTGTTCTGTCTGCTGATAGTGATCGGGATGACATAGAGCTCCGCTGTATCTCCCAAAGGGTAGTCGACGTGACAAATTGCGGTCTTGCTTGGGGGCTGGACGATCCAGGGAACAGGGTCGATGTTTGAGGCCGGTTCGTTATCTAAAGACTCTGTCATTTCGTTTCTGAGATTATCAGGGATGAATGTAAATGAACTGTTGTGGTGCGAATTAGAAGGCGATTCTGGCTGTACTTATGGTAGTTGCGAGAGAAACTTCAGGTTTGCTTGCCCCAGCTTCGTGACCACGCGCTATATCACAGACCGTATAGGCTGGATTTGCGCTATTGATCACGAGCTTATTGCCAGGCGAAATCATTGTATGACAATCGGCATGACTAGCAAGCTATCCAGTAGGGCATGGCAAGTCGAAAGTCTTGGATGATTCGCAATGAGGATATGACGCCTCCACCTCGACGAAGGCACAATCTCAACCTCCTAAGCCTACATTAACGTTAGGTTACCTAATATGCACGTTTTCGACTCTACGTAGGCTGCAGGCCTTTTTAATTTCGTGCTCTTGCATAACGTGCGGCAGGTGTTCGGGGTAGTATCCGCTTCTTACAACACGATTCTTCGTAGTCATAGTGAAGGTTCTGAATATCGTATTCGCTGGTACAGTGGCTAGCAAGTTGTTGGGCTGATGCAGTCATGTGTGTTGAGGAAACAGGACCTGGATGCGCCGAGAACGCGTCCCTGGCCGCGGTCAAGGGTGACTAAGCATGTCATGACGTCACGCGTCTAGCTCGGCTTTTCGAAGGACTCGCGTTCGCGAAGCTGCATGGTCAAACAGAGACTCATCTTTAAACCATTGGATCCAGTAACGCGTGGATTGTCCACAACGAGGCCCGACTCCTACTTCTCAAGTCTGTCAGTTAACACTCACTGCGGCTCTTTGGCATCACAGATGACGAAATTGGGCGATTAGTACGCTTACCAGCGTCTAGAATTACAATATGTTCTTAAGCAGCCTTCTATAGCAGTAGCGGCATGTGCTGCTGATCATGCACACTAGTTCACGAACTACGACTCAACTCTTCCCATTTCTGCGACACAGCTCCCGAGCGCAGGGTCACCATCCTGACCCCACGCTTCGCTCTTTTTCTTCGTGCAATATGGGCCTTGGTCTCATCCTCAATGCTTTTTGGCGCCGTTTTCACCTCTTTGTTCGGCGGAGATGGTGCATGAACGGCGGAGTCTTCCTCAGCATCCGCCAACATCTCCTCACTCTCCCCCAATTTCTGCCTCTTACCCTTCTTCTTAGTGCGGATACGCATCCTTTCCGCAGTCACCGCCATCTCGACATCTTCAACACGGCACAGTCCCAACTTACCCAACACCTCCGCCTCAACCTCCGCTCCGTACGCCTTGCGGAACTGGTCATCTAGCATGCGCTTCACAGCTGCAGGCTCAACCTGCATCATCTTGCAGGTCGGAAAAACCGCTAACTCAAGCTGCTGTGCCATCGAACGGAGAAGGACCTCGTCAACCTCATCGCGATCAATAATGGGCAGCTCATCGCGGAGCTTGCCGATGACGGCGTGTTTTTGGTCATCGTCGAGATTGGCAGCTTGATATTGCTCGAATGTGTAGTCAGTGATGCTAGGTTCGCGTTTTGCGACCGGAGTGCTATTGGGTGGCAAGAAGGAAGGCGGGTGTGCGGGAGTGCCGATCCTTATGTCGTTCACTCCACTCAGACGCCCCACGACAACTCTGGGTTCGCGTTTCTTGTCGCGTTTAGGCATACCTTGATGAGTATAGTGCGACGTTCGGAGTTGAGTTGAACAGGCGTTCCTGTTGACGGACGTGATTAAGTAAAGCAACCAAGAGCTATTGTAGCCAGAAGGTGCTTTGCACCCGACCCACTGACTCTGTCATTCACTTCGATGTTCATCTCACCGGATCGAGACTATGCTTTCTGATGCGCTCGTATCCGTGGTATGTACTACGCGCACGCAATTCGCCCGCCGTCTTAGGACACTGATAGCGAATATTTGACGAAAGATGAGAAAGATTTGACAAGAATGAAAACGCGACGCATTTGGTGAGGGTGAATGTTTCATTAATGGTTTATTATATCGTTCACGTCACATCGTGCACACCGCGCCCCTGAATCACTTCAAGCTCATAGCATGAAAAGACCGGCAAGAACACCGAAGATACTAACACCAACGGCGCCTTGTCCAAGACGAGCAGCTGCGTTCTCAGTCTGCTGAGGCGGAGCGCCAGTCGTGGGTGAAGTGCCGTTGCTGGTACCGTTACCAGCTCCGGGAGTGTCCTCCCTCTGACCGTCGACCTCCTCGATACGTCCGTCGAGCTCGATGTTTACTGGTGTCTGGCTCAAGATGTACGAAGTGAGTACCTCGTCCTGGGTGTCTAGGGTGATGAAATCGGTCGATGGCTCGAAGAAGTTGTCACCGCCACCAGCGATGAAGTCAAGGGTGACCATCTGGTAAGTAGTGTCGTTGTTAAGAGGCTCGTCGCCGATGGTGACAGAGACAAGCTTGGAGTTGTTGGCGTTCTCGGGGTTGTATTCGACCTTGATGCCAGTGCTGACCTGGAAGAAGGAGGTGACTTCCCTGCCATTGCCGACGTTGACACCAGTTACGATACCTTCCAAAGACTCCCAGAGAGTCTTGCCGTCGATCTCAACCTGAACGATGGCGTTGCCGAAAGGGAAGGAAGTCAAGACTTCGCCGCGGGTAATGTCACCCTGGTCGATGGTGGCACGGATACCACCAGCGTTAATGAGAGCAAAGTCGACGTCGTCAGTGTTGTTCTTGCGATAGGCGAGCATAGCATCGGCCATAAAGTCGCCGAGCAGGCACTCCTTTTGTTGGCAAGTAGTCTGGTCAAGCTCTACCTCAGTGGTACCAAGAACCTCAGCGGCGAACTCCTCGAATGGAATGCGCCACTCCTCGACCTGCTCTTGCAGGTCCTCATCCTGCTCTGTAGTGTTGGTGAGGTGAATCGGAGCGCCATGGTAAGCAAGGATCTTGCCCTGAGGGTCGTAGGTGACATCGATGTAGCCGAGGTACTCGCCCCAGCGGTAGGCAGTGACAATAAAGACCTCGTCGCCATCCTGGTTTTCGACGATAGTCGGGTATTTACCCTCAGCATCTTCCATGTCGCCGAGGAGGGTGTGGCTGTGGCCGCCCATGATGAGCTGAAGACCAGTGGTAGCCTTGGCCAGCTCCTGATCCTTGTCGTAGCCAATGTGAGTGAGAGCAGCAATCCTGGTGATGTTGGTAGTGGCCTTGATCTCATCGATTGCGCCTTGAACGGCCTCGACGGTGTTGGAGAAGACGGTAGTGACATCGGCGTTGCTGAGACTGCCAGTCTCCTCCGCAGTGACACCGATCAGCGCCAAGCCGTGCTCTTCAAAGATGGTGTATGGCTTGACGGTCTTGTTGACGTTCTCGTCCTCGGAATGCACATTCGCGCTGACAATGGGGAATGTGAGGTTCACCAAGAACTCTCCGAGCGCCGCATCACCACCATCAAACTCATGGTTGCCAAGGGTCATAGCATCAAATCCGAGCTGGTTCAGGGTCTCCGCAATCTTCTCGCCGCCATAGTAGCCGTAGAACAGAGTGCCCTGGAACTCATCACCGGCGTTCAAGAAAAGACTGTCCTCGTAGTTGGGGCGTTGCTCCTCGATGACGGTCTTCACACGCGCGTAGCCACCGTAGCAGCCTCGCTCGGGCCTGGTGCAATCGGTTCCTGAAGAGCTGAACTCATCAAGATGGGCATGCACGTCGTTGATGTGGAAGAATGCTGGATCACGTGAGCAGAAGCAATGTGGGAGTCACCGCATGCTGACTTACAGATGTTGTAGTTTCCATCCGCATCAATGCCTCGCTTCACCATACGTTTACTGTATAGCGCGTCTTCGGCTTGGGCAATCGCCGCCAGCGCCGAGACGGCGAGTAGTGACGCGCTAGATCCAGTGGCGAACTTCATCCTCACTTCGACTGGGCTTGGTGAAGTTGGTGAGAAGAGGCGCGAGCACGACAGTAAGCCTCCTTTTGGGCAGCCTGTCAGTATTTGTACCACGCAAACAAAGCGGACGCCGCCGCCTCAGTAGCTGCAGTTACGGCATCTCTGCCTTGGCGACCTTGGCGGCGGCCGTGCTTAATTCTCGGCAACTGCCTCTTGAGGTTTGGCGCCTTGCTGTACCTGATAACAATTCACCAATGAGCGACACACGTGCGACGTCGGCTTACAGGACGCAGGAACGTTGCACGAAGACCTGGAACTCGGCGTTGCCTTCTGCATGAATTCGATGACATTGCCGTCAACACGTGGGCTTGGGATGTAAAATAACCAATGGAGCAGGCGCTTAGAGGAGCGAATACAGTTCTCTGGGAACCGAGCTTTCAGTAGTCGAGGTTTTGCTGACGGGAAAACGGGCGGACCGATGACGGTGATGATTGCACCGGTAACGGGCCAGATACGGCATGCCAACTCCGAAATCCCCAAGACCTGGATCCTGGAAGCCCCGGACTTCAGAACAGGTTCGTCTGTGGATGAGGAAGAACATGTATAGTACATTGCGCTACGGGAAAAGACGAATGAGTAATAAGCAAACAAAAACGATATACAAAATGTGAAAATCGCCCAAACGCAATGCTCCAACATCAAACCCAACAACACCATCATCACGCCTGTGCGAGCTTGTCAAACCTCGTCCAAGATGCTCGCGTCCCACTGCATGGGTTTCCGAGTCGTGAAAGCGTTCGCGATGAATGCGGGGTCCCACCACTCGCCCCGCCCTGTCGAAAAGGACGCCCCGGCTTTATTACGGGCTGGTGATCGTCAGCGTAAACCCACTTATCTTACCGAACCTCCATCAATCTTCCCATCATCTCGTTCCATCTCTTGAATCGCGCTTCTTTCTCCTCCGTAACCAAGGCCTTGATCTTCGTCGTTAGCGAAGAAAGAAGAACTGCTTCGAAGTCTCTTACCTCCAGTCATCCCATCCCTCAGATAACCGAATCAGCAGCCTGAAGACATTTCAGGTGCTCGTCCGCAAACTTCTCTAGCCGGGCCTCAACCCCAGTGGTGGGCCATCGCAAAGGCTTCTTGTACGCCTTGACACCCTTTGCCGGGATAGCCGCGTTGTGGAACGGCTCCTTGAACTTGCCGAAAACCAGCACGGGTGTTGCCATCGCCCGATTACCGCACCACAACTTGCCAGCCTTGCCGATGTTGCTCAGATCCTGCATCATGCCAACGTCATCCGCGGTGATGACATTGGAGGCCTGCAAGGCGATCCTGAAGTCTGCGTTGCCATAGTCAAGCTGACCCAGCGCTGGTCGCTCGCTGCGAGCCAACGCTTCTTCACGGCGGCGCGCCTCGTACCGCTGGACGCTGGCGTAGCGGTTGAGGAAGCGTCGCTTGATGGTCAGAGCGCCACTGTCGGAGCCTTCAAAGAGTTGAGTTGCACCTCTGCCTGGCGAGGGTGGCTGAGTGTGGAGAAGGCCCGTCAGTGGCTCCCAGGGGAATGACGCTGTGGACCCATCAACTGCAGTTGCGGACTGCTTAACGGTCTCTTCTACGTCGTAGAAGCGTGGCGCGATGGGTCCCTCAACGTAGCAAACGTGCTTCTTGACGGCCTGGGAGTTGGGCTTGCGCATGGCTGACTTCAGTACAGTCTTGGCCTTGCGTGATGCCCGTGCATCTGGCTTCCTTGCGGACCTCTTCGTGTTCGCACGGCTGACTCTGCGCTTCGACAACGAAACTGGAGCCAAGTTCTGCTTCGGGAGCGACTTGGCAACAGTGGTTGGCTTGTTCGGAGTCTTGCGTAGAGCTGCCACCGGAGCGACCGGCTTGCGTGGCTTTGACGCCGTGGCGTCGCGATTCGATGATGATGTTGACGTTGTCTTCGAAGTAGTCATCTGTCGTTTCGTAGTCTTCTGGGAGACAACAACAGATTTTGGCTTGACAACAGGCAGCTGTGAAGCTGGAGCCTTCGCCGAATGTGGCCTTTCGACAAAAGCTAAAACTGAAAGCCGTTAGTTGTGAAAACAACTCGAACTTGGTGAACTTACCTCCTTCACTGGCGTCCTGTGTCAGATGAGACTCAGTCGTCACCGTAGTCCTTGATCGCACGCGCTCCAAACCAACCGAATCACCGGTATAGTCAGGGCATCGAGACAGCCCAACGAACCAATCCCGATTTGTGCGCAGCCCCATACCGAGCCGCTTCATACTGACCATTTTCCGTCCGAAGAGGTTCATGGCAGAAGTCTGCTGCTCAGGGCTGACGGAGTCGTCGAAGCTGTTGTCGTTGAACATGAGCGATGTGTTGTCCATGTCGTCGTCCGCGGACTCAATGATCTCCGACGCCGGCTCTTCGAACTCCATCGTAGGCTTCTCGGCCTCCACATATAACTCTTCCTCATCATCCTCCGCCTCCGTAGTGGTCTCGGCAGCGAGTACCGTAATCTTACGCCGAATAACCACACTTGTCATCCTCGCCCAAAGCCTTGACTGCCTCCGTACACTAGCCTCTTTCACCGCCGTAATCATAGGCCTCGGGATACGCGTCTTACCGATCTTGCTATCCGCATTCTGCTTATAGTCAGCTCGAGCTCTAGCAAGTATCTTGGGTACCCTTGGCGCCGAAGCGGTAGTAATTGTCCTTGACGCCAACACACGGGGTGCTGGCTTAATTTGCTTCGCCGCCACCGGAGTAGCAGCTGGCCTTGTCCTTGAAGAAGTTGGTCGATGGAGCCGCTGGTACAGCGGCCTGACCGGGTTGGCAGTGACATTAGTGTTGACTGCGGCGCGGCGCATGTCGGGGACGCGGCGGGCAGGAGAGAGCGCATTCACGACTTTCTGTGTAGTGGCAATTTGCATTGTGACTAGTCTGTGACGATGTGAGTGTCTGAATATGAGAGAAGGTGCAAAAGGTAGGGGGCTTACTCGAATGTGTGGATGTGGTGAGGAGTCAGAAGTCGGGTGGGATCAAAATATTATATGTGTGGGTTGCGGGCGCCGACCCGCGACTTTGCTATGGCAACGAGAAAATTCTCTCTATCTCGACAGAGATGGGATGAAATTGGTGTTGGAAGTACACGCCGTTATCTGCATCTCGTTTTGCGACGACAGAGTCGACTCGCACGGCGTTCTCAAAGTCGCGTCTGCGACTCAGATCCGCTAGAGCATAAGATCGCAACCCCCAATGCGCTGAAAGCTTATCAACACTTACTGTTTGCTCAAATACGTCGTTTAGTGAACACATCCAAGCCAGCGTAGACTTGTCAGGGCTAGCGATAGTCAACACGTTCCGCACTCAAGCTTAAGATGCATTGATGATACTAACGAATATCATGTGAATTCATTCAGATTAATTGCTTCCATTCATCACAAAATTCTATCTAGCTAGCAGTAAGAATAACCTTTCCGCCACTCAAACCCTCCGCCTTAGCTTCAACAACAATCTCTCCACTGGCGCCTGCCTCACTCCTCACAATAGCCAGCGCCATTCCACCAAACGCCTTCCTCTTCGTCTCTGGGAACGGGCTCATGTCTGTTGGGTCGCCATTATCCGTAGCAACGATGACACCGGGACCAGACGAGACCTCAAAGCTAATCTCATCATCCGCCATCGGAACCAAGATACCGTTCTCGTCATGCACGGAAACAGTGATGAATGAGAGGTCGTAGCCGTCACCAGCGATTGTTGTGCGATCAGCAGTCACGTTCAGCGACGCAGCGGAACCAGCTGTGAATTGAGATGCGGTAGCCCATTCTTCGCCATCCTTGTATGAGACGACACTGATGTTGCCAGGACGGTACTTCACGCCATCCCAGCGGAGTCTGTAGTCGTATTTCCCCCTTGATTGACGGCCGGCTGAGACACCGTTGACAAAGAGTTCTGCCTCGTCACCAGAAGTGTGGACATGTACGGGTGTGATCTCGCCGATGCGGTCTTCGGGCCAAGTCCAGTGAGGAAGGATATGGGCCATGGGAAAGTCGGGTCTCCAACGCGCTTGATAGAGGTAGAAGCGGTCCTTCTTGAAGCCAGCCAGGTCAATGATGCCGAAGTAGGAACTGCGGCTTGAGTTGTCATATGGTGTGGGCTCACCGATGTAGTCAAAGCCAGTCCAGACGAATTCACCAGCGACATAGGGGTGTCTGTCTTGTTGCTCGAAGACTTTATCGGGTGAAGCAGCCCATTCGGGTGCGTAGAGATCGTATGAGGACACAATGTTATTCTCTGGGTCACCGCCTTCCCCGGGTCCGCCACCTACGATGGCGCTCTTGTTTGCGGTAATGGGGAAGAGATATTTCCCACGAGTGCTCAGCGTGGAAGCTGATTCTGTGCTCCAGATCATCTTTTCTGGGAAGCCCTCCTTGAAACCAGGGAAAGTGCTCACCCAAGAGTCTCCCTTGCCTTCACCTTGGTAGTTCAGACCGATGATATCCATGACGCCAGCTATGCCGGTACTGGCGTTAGCGTTGTTCAAACCAACGGTTACTTGACGAGTCGGGTCTTCTTCGTGGGCCATATCTTGAAGTGTCCTAGCAGTCTCGGTACCAGTAGAGTTCCTTTGTTCAGGAAGCTCGTTGCCGACACTCCACGAGATGATAGATGGGTGGTTACGGTCACGGCGAATGAAAGATCGGAGGTCTGGCTCATGCCACTCTTGGAAGATGCGATGGAAGTCGTTCTCGGTCTTGGGGAAGTTCCAGGTATCGAAAATCTCATCCATCACCATGAGGCCATATTGATCGGCGAGGTCAAGGAATTCGGGTGCGGGCGGGTTGTGAGACGTGCGAAGAGCGTTGTTGCCCATCTCTTGTAGGATTTGGATCTGACGTTCCGCAGCCCTGGTGTTGAAAGCTGCTCCAAGGGCGCCCAGGTCATGGTGGTTGCAAGACCCCTGGACGTAGATACGCTCACCGTTGATAAGAATACCTTGGTTTGGGTCGTATGTGACCGAGCGGATACCAAATACGGTTTCATAGGTGTCCATAGCCTCTCCGCTGACTGAGACGGTAGAGATAGCGACGTACTCATTGGGCTTCTGACTAGGTGGTGGCCCCCAAAGCTTTGGGTTTGGAACTGTGACCGAGCCATGTACTGCTTGCTTGGAATGGCCTGCAACATCCGCGTTCGCTGCAGCAAATTTTGCGACAGCTTCACCAGTAGCTTGTTTCGTCGTTGCGTCGCGCTCGAAGACTTCGGTGACAACTTCAACATGTTGACTGCTGTTACCCTTGTTCTCCAGATCAAGGACCATCTCGACAGTAGCTTCCGCCTCCGAGATGCTAGGAGTAGTGACGTAAGTTCCCCATTGTCCAACATGTACTGGGTTGACAGTAACAAGCCAGACATTACGGTAGATTCCAGCGCCCGGATACCATCGCGATGAGTCAAGTTTGTTGTCCAGACGAATAGCCAGCGTGTTATCGCCAGACTTCGCGTAAGGAGTAAGGTCAAGACGGAAAGAGTTGTAGCCGTATGGCCATCCACCAACGAGGTGACCGTTCAGCCATACCGCAGCATACGACATAGCTCCATCAACATCCAAAAAGACGGATTTGCCAGATTGGAAGACTTCCGCATCCATGGAGAGCGTGCGGCGATACCATCCGATTCCATTGATCGGCAAACGACCAAGACCTCCCTCAACGCCTGGAGCGTCAAACGTGCCAGAGATAGCCCAGTCATGCGGGAGCGAGACAGCTTCCCACGCGGCATCATCGAAACTTGACTGAACATAGCTGATATTTGCACCAGGAGCGGCACCAGATGGTCTCTCGTACTTTTCTCCAGTAATAAAGTCGTTCGCGCAAGGTAGCATCCACGGCTTCAAGCCTTCGTAGCTCAAGCCATCTGGATCCGAGGTGAAACGCTCAAATCGCCAGTCTGCGTTTAGCGAAGTGCGTTGACGTCCTGATGTTGTAGACCGTGGCTTGGAAACCACATGAGCGGCTGCGGAGTCGAAGCAGATTGAGAACAAGAAGCCGAGGAGGAGGATGCTGTACGAGTTGTACAGCGCTCGCAAGGAACCCGTCATCCTGATGGGTGGTGATATGTTGGGGGATATACCAACTTCAGAACTAGCTCATCTGATGGTTGATGGCACTGATGCTGTCACTAAGAATGAGTGATAAGCGTGAACGACGAAGACGGTAGATACACAGCTACTTTGTACTCGGGCAGAACCATACGATACGATAGAGCACACTACGGGTCATTTCCCTCCGACCCATGCACACACTTCGTCATAAACGGAAGAAACACAATGGTCGGCCCGTCTGGGCAGTACATAAACCGCTACCCGTAGAACGTTTTTCGCAGGACATTAGCCTACAGAGGTACTTCCCCGCCATGCAGAGTGCGGGGTGGCTGTCTCGGCGATACTTGGCTGTCGGCTTAAACTGTCTTTGCACAAAACGGATCCACTCGCCATGGTGAAGCTTCCGGATAAGTTGCGGAGGATGAAGATCATGAGAGCCGAGTGGTGAGCTTTGGTGATAGTGACGTCGCGAGCTAAGCCAAATAGGGTTGTCGGTCCGCTTGCTATCTCCGCACGGTCCCGCAAGCGGGGTCAGCGAACAGCTTCACGCTGGGGGCTCGGGAGAAGGTGGTGATGATTGAAGTCTAAGGTATATGATCATGGCCTATGAGCTGGTTGAAGACAGTGAAGAACAGAATGACGCCGACCCAACATCCAAATTTGACGAGATAAGAGACTCATCGCATCGTTGAACAGGACGAAAAGGAAATTGTGAACAGCACTGCAAGAGAGACCATCAACGGCGCATCTCCGCAACATCACCGCTCGGAGATTTGGACTCCTCAACTCGGTCCTTATAGTCGTTATGGCCAGTGTAAGGTTCAGCAACCATGGGCGCAGAAGGACCACCAACGGCAGCATATCTCTTGCGCCTGCGGAAGAAGCTGTGTCGCAATATGTCAGTATTTGGGACGGTGAAAGAGCTTTCCTGGAAGGTCAGACTTACATAACAGCTCCGATGATAGCAATCAGAATAGGCAGAACCAGGCCAACGCAAACACCAATGATGACCTTGTTGCTAACGCCTCCGGTCGAGCCGTTAACAAGATCGTGTACATCGTCATTACCATCTTCGTCGGGTGGAGCGACATAAGGTGTCGGCTTGCCAGACACAGCCCTCATAGTCTTCGCTTGCGTACCGAAAGCGACAGTTTCATCAACGGCGTCGGAGGTCTCTGCTGGCCATGTCGCTTCGACTCCTGGTGCTACTGACGTTATGGTGGTGGAGCTGAACTTGGTAGTCGTAGTGACTTGCTGCGAGTTGGGGCAGTTCGCAGGCCCTTGGATCTTGCAGCTGACACCGCTTCTGGTGATTTCGGTGCTTATCGTGGTCGGAGTGAGGTCTTCACGTCTTTCTGGACCAGGTGTGATGGTCGGTGCTGGAGTTGGCTTGCCTTGCATTCCGCATACTTCCGCCATCGTGGTCGTGAAGATGGCGGTAGATGCTTCAGCCACCGGTCCCCATGTCTTGGTCTCGTTGAACCATTCGACAGCGACTGATGCGCCAGCGATCGCGCCTACAGCGAAGTTATATTCTTGAATGACTTTCAACTTGCAGTCTTCGTCGTCTGCAGCGTACGTAACATTGGTGTTGAACTCGGCTATGTTTGCGTAGATGGCGACTTCGATACCAGCTTCGACTTGTGGACTCAACTTCTCAACCATGCCCAAACCTGGTGGTGGCTCTGGCATCACAACCTCGAGCCCACAGTGAGCACCGATACGAAGGGCTGCTTGCATAGTAATGCTTGCGCTTTCGAGAGTGACAGGCAGGAATTCGAACTGTCCTCCGTTGCTGCACATGGTCAGTCATTTGGTCATTTGTCGAATGTGTGGTCACAGAGGAGACTTACACTGTCATATCGGCAACCTCGTTTCCAAACAAGGGTAGATCTATTGCGACACCATCGTCCAGCTTGACATGAAAACCAGTGCTAATGTCGATGGCCCCTTCCACAGCTAAGATCAGATCGATACTAAGCACCGCACCAAGCATTAGATTCGGCCCTATCTTCATACCGACCGGAGTTTGTGTTGCAAAAAGAGTGATTTCGTATGTCGCTCCAGCATTGAGAACAGTTCCAATCTCTAGGTAAAGCTCCATACCATCGAATTGGAGGTGTAGGTTGACTGCGTCGATGGTCGGAACGTTCAGGTCGAATGCAAGATCGAAGGTTGGCCATTTGAAGTCTGAACTGTCAATGCCGTCGCTGAGGGTGAAGTTGTCCATGACGTGTTCTATCTCATCGCCTAGTTTCTCTTCGAATCTGTCGGTAAAGTTTCGCACGGCTGTGCTGACTGAGTTGATAGTGCTGTTGAGGAGCTCGCCAGCGTCGAACTCGCCGTCGATAGTGAGTTCAGCAGAGGCAACTCCCTTGACGTAGCATTTCCGGCAGGTGACTTCTATACCAGCTTCGACTGTCGTGGTCCCATTCTCGTGCTCCTGTAGCGGATTCGGTTCGAGTGCTCTGTACGAACAATCAACGCCCGCCGACGTAGCGAATACTGTAGATTGTGTACTCACACCGATAGCAAAGTAGCACCACTCCAGCTTCTCGCTATGTTCATGGGTTCAGCCTTGAAGGAATCTCGCTTCTCTAGACTGGCCAGAGCTAGGCCGCGCTTTATGGCATGGTATGTATCCTCGACAGAGTGGCCTGGAGCGTTGCGGACCTGTACGGAGGAGTCGAGTGGAGTGACCGCGGCATGAGCCCAAGTGAAGGCAAAGGACAAGAGAAGATTGCGAAGTAGCGCCATTATGTCCGCAGAAATAGATGCAAAATCAAAGCGAACTTTGCGTATGAACCGACCCAAGACGAAAGCCAAAAGCTGGAGACTTGCTACACTTCAGACGAGACCAAACCTACTCACTTATACACCACCACTCCTCACACCACCACAGTACTTCCGGGTATGTACCGTCAAACGGCACGAGGCTTTGCGGCGTAGCACAACCGGGGGCCGAATATGCGGGATGCAACCGAAAATGCTTCAGTACACTGCTTCGCCACCAGCACCATTCCAGAAGCGGCGATGCTGTAAGGAAGAGCATCCTTCGGACTTACATCGACTAGGCTCTGGTACATCTGCGACGGTAATCGTGACCTACTTTGTACTTTGTGTGTGTCTCCCGGTAATAAGACATGCAGGCTACGATACATTCCCCGGTAGATTGGGGGAGGACTGTGAGTGGTAGGGATAGTGGACGGGGTGTTATTGGAGTACTGAGTGGAGGTGGGAGAAGGCAGATTCAGAGCCAAGTATTGAGTACGAGAAGTGTATGCATCTCGCCGTTGTGGTGAGACTGTGGATGTACTCGGACTGCTCTCTCAACCTCAGCCTTGCGGCCTTGGCTTCGCAGATACGATTAAGCAGTGCCGGTATGCGGAAATGTCTCGGCCCCATCATGATGGCCCCCATGAAGAGACCGAACTCGTGGGGAGGAGATAAGCAAAGCTGGCGAAGATAGTATCCGTGTACTATTTATGGGCACACACATCCATGGAGTCCAAGTATCTAAGCCCTCCAAAAAGTATAGGCTGAGCGACTTACCATACTTACCCCGCAGCGAGTAGCTGAGAGGCGTCGCTGTAATGGTTGTTGTTCCCCTGGCAAGCGATGCAGCGTTTTGCGGCGCAGTAGATGCATGGCACGTATTTTCAGAACACTGCAGCGAGTGAGTGACCCCGCAGTGTTTCGGGTTCAAAGCCATGCAGAATCGCAGCCTTCACTGGGTTGTCGTGTGTGCATCTCTCATGCTTGAAGGCTGCAACGTGCAGGGACGTGCGAATCAGAGGCGGGAGCTGGCTTTAGCCGTATCTTCCAGAATTTTGATCTCCAGGTGCTTTGTCGTTGGATGTAGTGCTACATGACAGTACCTAGGTACGCTGTTCTCCGATGGCGATGGGTGCTGCGCAAGGGGTGTCGAAGTACTCTGCTGTTGCTGCCTTTAGGCACCCGCATGATGCCTTACAAGGTGGGAAGACATCGATGCAGCCTGATGCATCTGCGAAGCTGTGCCATCGAGCGAGACGAAATGAGAATGACAACAAGATGGCGATTACATAGCAGTTGTAGGATGGGCGGAGTGCAGCTTCCCCAGACCCGCGCACGCGTGAACCCGCCCATTGACGCTAGCCCCATTCCCTCAGGGTCCCTTGGCGCCCGAACGTCACCCATGGCCAGTCGCGTCTGAAGGCTGCCAGACTATCCCGAAACCGCCTCGAAGACACTCTCAGCACCACAGCAAGCCAAAACACCCAGCCGTACTCACTCTACGCTTACGCGATCGCATAAACCCCGGCATACAACCGTCTCAACCCCAAAAGACACCAGGAACGAAGACCGGGCGCCCCCGACAACCCGCAACAATGTCGCAAGCCTACGAGCGCGAACAACAAAACAACTCCCGCCTCGATGAACTCGCCTCCAAAGTGTCTGCACTGCGAGGCGTAACGATAGATATCTACGATAATGCGCGCGATCAACATGTCATTGACAATACAGTACGTCGCCATTTACCCCAACTCCCCTTGACGCCTTCCAACGACCTACCTACAAGATCACCAACTAACGGCACCCATAGAGCGACACCTTCTCCTCCTTCGGCACATCACTCAAAGGCTCCGCCACACGTCTCACACGCATGGCTTCATCGGGGAACAAAGTCGCGATTTTGAAGTTGGCAGGGATAATAATAGGGACGGTGGTGATGTTGTATTGGATTTGGCATTTGATCTTCTGAGGAAAGATAGAGTGGGTGAAGATGGGAGTTTATACAGGAACATGTTTCAGGATGGGTCGCGGTGCAACATCGAGGGAAGTCGGGAAAAGAAGACATGAGATTGGGAGCGCAGGCGGCTACGATGGGGATACTGATATGAGTCCTGGGATAGGGTCACAGGAGTGATGTGTTACTGGCGGAAACGGCAAGGGCCGTATGCATATCTGGCGTTATAGGGGCATGACTATTGTGGTTTCGATTCAGCGGTCTATAAACATCATACTATGTACATTACGCTCCATCCAGAGCCGCATTCTGTTTCACGCTCTGAAGGATACGGATTAAAGTACGTGTAGCATGCAAACACCGATCTATCACACGTCGCTTCTATTCCCATACATTCGAGAAGAGATCGTCGCTTCCGCCACCGAATCCTCCTGCAGGCTTGCTTTGAGTGGTTGTGGTGTGAGTTGTAGTAGTCGTCTGCGTGGTTGTAGTGGGTGCGGCACTGCTCCAGCCCCCAAAGTCATCGTCTTGGGTTACTTGTGGTGCGCCCCAACCGGGGGTCGTAGGCTGAGCGTGCGATGCCGTGGATGGAGCTGCGGGTTGGCTCGGGGCAGAAGAACCCCAGACGTCGTTGCTACCCCAGGCGTCCATGTTCGAGAATCCTGAGTAGTTTACGGTCGCAGGGGCAGGGGCAGCCTTGGGAGCGGGTGCTGATGCTGGTGAAGACAGGTTGAATGCTGAGCTCGTTTGTGGCGATGAGAGTGGTGGGGAAGTGACCCTTGGTGCAGGCGCAGGTGCAGAGGGCATAGACAGGTCCAGAAGATCGTTCATGCCGCTCGCTGCAGGGGCTGCAGGTTTGGAGGGAGCAGGGGACGAGAAAGCGCTAAAGTCAGCCATACCACCCGAGGGGCTCATTGTACGGCTTTGCGGCTGGGTCTGGGGAGCAGGCTTGGAATCGAAGAAGTTGCCACCACCACCGAACATGTTGGAAGAAGATGTCGAAGGCGGTGACTTTGCGCTGGAGAAGCTGTCGAGGCCGGAGAAAGGTGAGGGTTTAGCTGCCGGAGCAGGATTGAAAGACAGACTGCTAAACGCATCGTTCATGCCACCAAAGGCCGACTGTTGGGGCGATTGCTGTCCTTGGGGTGACGCCAGTCCACCGAATGAGTCTTGACGTGCATGCTGCTGGGGCTGGGGTGGTGCGGCAGGCTTGGAAGCGTATAACGATAAGATGGACTGCTTGAGATCTGGTCTCGACGGCGCCGCTGCAGCAGGACCTGTGCTAGATGGACGAGATGGTGCCGCAGAAGATGATCCACCAAGGAAGTCCAATCCCAACAATGAATCGCCCGCCTTGTTCTGTTTCGGTGGAGCTGTCTCTGCCTTGGGAGGCCCTCTGGCTGCGATCGGGGGTCCGGTGCTCGGTCGCTGAGGAACGGGGTCGTCGCCGAAAAGGTCGATGGTCGGCGGCGGCTGTGCTTGTCGCGGGGGAGGGGGAGGCTGGCTGGAGCTCTGAGCTAGGCGTTGCGATGCGGAGCGTTCTATTTGGACCTTCTCCTGAACCTTCTTCAATGGCTATACTTTATTAGTTGCTATCCCATGGAGCTATCCTGGCCCACTTACAATATCGTCATCGTCCGCCTCCAAAGTCGAGGGATCGGGCATAGGCCCTTCCATGACCCATCGCTTCGACTCGTACTTTGTGCGAATAAAGTTCTCAATCTTTGCCTCAGATGGCACATGGCCAGGCGCCAGCTTCGACTCCCAGTACTTGTTGGCTCGCGCATTGCCCCATTTCAGCACGCTCTGGAGTTGCTCGTCGGTCCAGGTATCGAGGTCAACCGACTTGACTTTGCTGATATGTGTTCCCATGCCACGGTGGATGCCCGAGCACCGAATGCAGATGAAGACGCCCAAGTTCCAGCTGGCCCATCGTGGGTCTGCAGTAGCTGTCAGTAAAGGCGCATTATTCTTAGATCCTGTATAACTCACGCTTGTTCCTCTTGCAGTCGGAGCACGTCTTGTTGCCCTCGAGCTTCACCAAGTTCTTGAGCGTGGCGCGATTCTGTTCCGCCCGATCAGCGGCAGGGTTGGGCCGTCGCGACATTGTGGGGTAGGATGCCGTGTGCGGAGTTCGTGTTGGGGGTGCCGAGTCGTATTTCAACGCGTGTGTCTAAGAGAGAGCAGTAATAACTCGCGAGGGCACGTGTCAGTCGAGGGTGGAAGTGGGTGAGTGGGGTTAGGTTGTCTCATTCGTGCCTGAAGCGTTTGGTTTCTCACCAATGACGCTCGCCTTGGCACTCGATACCGCCATCTCACATGTCAGGGGTTTGGTTTGGGCTGCAAGTCGTTCGAAGTGTTGGAAAAGCAAGATAGGTAATTGTCTCTATGTGATGTCGTATTTGTATGACAAGGACAACCCTGCTTGGACTGAACGCATCGCTGCTTGGAAACGCCTCCCCGGGTATCACAATGGTGTAATGCTACAATATAGTACATGCGCTGACCACCAGAAAGCCTGTTATATGCAATGCAGTTGTGGAAATCAAGCGGGACGGAACCTCCAGTCGTCCCAGTCTTCGTCGTCGGACTCACTCTCGCCATCTTCCTCGATGGCTTGAGCAGCTGGCGCAACGCTCTCTGCTTCGACTGGTGCTCCAGACTTGGATCGCAAAGCCTCTCTCTGTTCACGCAGTCGCTTCACCCTCTCTTCAAGGCCTTCCATCTCCTCGAATTCGTCTTCGAGCGCCCGCGCAGCATCCTCTTTCTCGCCCTCCATCTCCTCGTCCCTCCTTGCGCGTTGCGCGCTCTGGTCTTCTCGTGCTTGTGCGGCGATCTGGGCGGCTGTCATGGGCGCGGCCTCGATGACAGCGCCTGAGTAGGCGGATCTTGTGGGCGGTGGTGGCATGGGCTTTTCGGCGTTCATCTCGTTCAAGAAGGCATCGAGCTCTGCTTGAGCTGTGGGGTCGAGTTGGGGCTCAGGTGCCTTGGGTGCCTCTGGAGGCTGGGTATCTGGTGTTGGCGCGCTTTTCTGGTCTGCTGCCGGCGCGGCTTCCTCTCCATCCTGTGCAGCTCCAACATCGAAGAAGCCCGCGGGCACGCCGGCCTCTTCCTCGGTTCGCGTGCGTTTCCTCTCCTCCACCGTCTCATCTGTAGCCTTGCGCTTTTTGGACGCGGGTGCGGTCGCAGGAGCTGCCGATTGCTTTTGGGGCTTTTGCGCCTGCTGCCGTGCTGCGCGCTGCTGTCGCAAAAGAGCTCGTGCGTCGGCCATGATGATGCAGGTGGTTGTTGCTCTTGTGGAAATTTGGGTCGTCGTGACAGTGCCTATAGTCTGCGATTCCGAGTGTTCTTGTTCTTGTTCTTGTTCTTGTTGAGACTGGCTGGCGCTGCTCCCAGTAGCTCTGACGCCAGCCGCGCAAAGGGTCCACAGCTCGCTAGTGGCCAGGATTACGGCAGCCAAGGCGTCGGCAAAACGCTGTGTCAAAGCTCCACCTCCTCACTGACACCACTCAGTCCAACACCACACGACACATTGCGACTCCCACTGGCAACCCGCACCCGCCCACTGCTGTCTTCTAGTGCGCTCACGACCCAGCGCATGCATTGAGCTTCCATCCCTCGCGGCTGACATCTCTTTTGCGCCCACACACCGCGCGGCACCGGCTCCGCATTCGGCAGGTACGCGCAAGAGGCAGTTGCGACTCATAACCGGCAGTCGCACAACGCATCGCGCCTTCTGTCTGTGCAGTTGGGCAGGAGCGCTCGCTCGCGCTCGTTTACTAGTTAGAGGCGGCTCCATACTTGGTGTCTGTCTGTCCGCAGTGCGACGCGCGTAAGGCAGGATTGGGGCTTCCGTAGAGACTTTTTGAATCTTGTTCCGCAATAGCATAAGCTGCACTCGTGGTATCGTCTATATTGAGCCCATCACCCGTGTCCGACACCATGGCCGGTAAGCAGACACCATCTACGCGCATCCGTCGCATCAAGCCACTGAGTCGCGCCCCTCATGGCACCCGCACCACCACGCGCACGCCCATCCCCGTCCCTCACACTGACGCTGATATTGCCACTGCAGACGAGATCCGCCGCTCCGGCCGCGCCAACAAAGGCCACCACACCAAGAACGCAGATTCCCTCGACGAGCCCTCCCCCGCTCCCAAGGCCAAGGCGCCACCAGTTCCGGAGAAGAAGGGACAGGCGCAAACCAAGAAGGGACAAGCAAAGGCCCAGTCACAGCGCGCGCAGTCGACGCAATCTTCCCAGCAAGATGAGGAAGAGGAGGACGCCATCATCCGCTGTGTCTGCGGCGACCAGCGCGACATTCGCGGACGCCAGATGATCTGCTGCGACAGCTGCGAAGCCTGGCAACACAACAAATGTTTAGGCCTCCCCGAGGGCGACTTCTGGGAGGGCAAGAACTACTACTGCGAGCAATGCAAGCCCGAAGACCACACCGAGCTGCTCGCTGCCATGGCGCGTGGGGAGAGACCATGGGCGCGCAAGAAGGGCTCCAAGCCCAAGCCCCGCCCCAGCGACGTCAAGCAGGAGGCTGTCTCCGAGAAGGCCAGCACGCCGCAACAGTCGGCGACGCCCTCACAAACCGCTCAGGCCCCAGTTGAGGCTCCCACGCCCACCCCTGCTCCCGTCACTGTGCCTACACCAGAGGCCTCCAACGGACATGCAGAGTCAAAGGTATGCCGTTATGAACTAAACAGACTGTCACACGCTCACATTTGTAAACAGGAGACGAGTCAGCCACAATCGCCACTTGGTGAGAAACGTCGCCATGAGCCTGCCACTGAAAAGGCCAACGCGAGCAAGAAGCGCAGAAAGTCTAGCCACCACGAGAGCAAGCCGACCCCTCAGTCAGCCCCAGTCGGCGACATCGATTCGCTCCCGCAGAACCAAAAGGCTGTGGCAGAGAAGCTTCGGGACACACTCGCACCGTTGATTAGCACCGCCTCAGAGACCAGGGGTTTCCGCATACCGGATGGGCAGACTGCCAAATCTCTGGCCACCAAGTACACTCTCGAAATGAGTCATGCCGCTTTCAATCTCTACGGAGAACCTACTGGCTCGTCTTCGCCATACTTCACCAAAATCCGTACCATCATGTTCAATGTCAAGAAGAACACGGTGCTTGTGGATCGCCTCCTCTCTGGAAGCTTGAAAGCTGATGATCTAGTCAGTATGGAAGCTGAAGAGATGGCAAGCGAGGACAAGCAACGTGAATACGCAGCCATGCGCGAAGCGGCCGAGAAGCAGATGATCCTGACCGAGGAGGCCGGACCGCGACTACGCAAGACTCACAAGGGCGAGGAGATTGTCGGCGAAGACGCCTTCGAGAACGACCATGACGACTTCAAGCAGCCCACGCTCCGCGAACGAGAGAGCATCACCGAAGACACTGCGATGCACTCACCATCCGGAACACGCCCTCCAGAGAGTCCCGCAGGTGCATCACGAAGACCTACAGAGATTGACACTGCCCAGTCCGAGCACGCACGCCGCGCATCGGCCAACTTCGACATCAACTCCGTCTTCGACAAAGTCCGATCGCCACAGCATGATCAGCAGGCCTTCCTTCAGCGTCGCCAAAGCTCAATGCATATGCAAGACAAGCCTCCGGCTGCAGTTGATGACGCCGACGTCGACCGTTTGCTCAAAGACGAAGACAATGATGTTGAGATGTCAGGATACTCCTCGGACCCGACTGTTTGCTGGCAGGGCTCTATCAATATGCAGTCAATGGAGCCTTTCGATGCGGTCGCTAGATTCGTCGCTGGTGGTGACTTCGGTCAGATCGTGCCATGGGAGAAGCTGCTGACCAACACCGTGGCGATCCAGGGGCGCATCGAAAGCGCAAAGGGAAACGACTACATCCAGAACATTGGCCACACCGAAAGCCATGAAGTTTCCATCCTGGCCGTGAGCCCTGTTACAACGGATGGACGCACCATCATGGACCATCTGTATGAGTACTTCCACTCACGCGGCAGATGGGGAGTAGTACCTGTCGAAGACAACGACATCCTGCGCGACCTCTACGTCATTCCTATTGAGGAGGGCGGCAGCAACCTCCCTCCTTTCATCGACATGCTCGAGTACTGCACGATCGAGACCCCTCGCAAGGAACATATGTTAATCCTAGCCATGGTTGCCAAGCTTCCCGAGATCAAGCCTCAGCTTCCACCTACCCAACATTTCGAGCGATACCCAGAACAAGAGATTGCAACTGGTCAAGTCGCCCCGCCTGTCCTCAACAACGGCCCATCGCCGCTTAGCAACCCTCATGCACCTCAGTTCTCGCCTGTCAGTGCTGCCTATCCACCAGGCGGCCAGTACGGCAACCCGTTCGCCGCACCGCCTGCAAACATGGTCCCAGTCCAACAACCCACGCCACCCGTCAACGGCCCGCCGCATCACCAGATCCCCAAGGCACTTGAGATACTCGGTCCGTATATCGATGCGCCAGTCATTGTTACGATCTTGGGATCTAGTTTGTCCCAAAATTCTGTAGTCTCGGAACTGCAGATGATCAACCTGAGGCACATCGTTGAAACCGTACCTGAAGCGCGCGACAACATCACAGTGCTTACCAACCACCTCCGCTCAAAGACCGAGTCGAACGGCCAGCAGCAGGCACAGCCATCTGCCGCCCCGTAGGTAAGGGTATCAGGTGCGCTGGCCTCTTTGCGCATTCACACGCGCTGAATTCGAGAGGAGGAGCGGAGGTTTTCAGGTTCGGTGTTTTGAGGCGCTTGAATGGATGTACAGGTTTTCTTGTAGCAAGGCAGGGCGAGGCCGGGACGCGGAAGTGTGGGCGGCGCTCTCTTTCTCTTGTATTTGATACCCACATGTGGTGTACCCTGTTTGTCCCATGCGATGAGGCAGAGACGGTTCTGCCATCCATTTACCTCATTGCTTACGTGTACGCTCATTGCTTCTTTCTGTTCCAAAATACACATACTGTTTCGTTCAAAATGTTGCCTCCTCGCACTGCTTTGTGTAACATGGCTAGCTGATGGTGGTAGTGCATGCTATGCAGTGTTAGGCCTCCAGCTAAGCCTTTTCTTCCCAGGTGATCTCTTGAGGCCATGCGGTAAGCGAGATTGACAGTTCGCTGTAATCCACGGTTTTCTTGTCATTTCCACTTTAGTTACTATATGTAGTAATGCAACAACCCCTCCTTCGTCTACCCTTGTCCGACTTACACTCTCATCGGTGACGAACCTTAATCCTCGCCCCGTTCACCGGCATATCTGCAGGCAGACTGCCACACAGATATTCCCTATACACAAGGATGCGCAAATCACCCCTCTTTGTGACCATGACGCGGCATGCAGAAGAGCGCATAAGGTGCATTTCCGCTTTCCCCGATGTCTTTATATGCAACTGCAATCTACACTCTTCCCCCAACCTACTCGATGCAGTGCGTTGAGCCTCTTGGCACTCGAACACTGCACATGCGCGTTCCCACCGTGCCACATCCATAGATCCATACCGTACCCAAACTTACTGCTTCCGGTATATTGAGTGTGTTGGCACAGGGTGTAACGTGTGATGCAACGGAGGTGCGCGCATGTATGCTGTGTAACTGTTGCTTTGACTAGGGAGGTAGATTAATGCCTGTGTATGCCGGCTGTGCATGGCTCGCAGGAGGACCTACGATCAACAATTTACTTAGTAGTTACTGAATGCAGTAGAATTGGCGGGGTACGGACGGGAAGGACAGACGCTGTGTAACTGTTGTGTGACTATTGACGTGGAGATACATAACGAATATGGTCGAACTGCAGGAACTACAATCAACACTCCACCTGGAAATTACTGTGTTGAGTAGAATCGGCGGGGAAATGACGATCGCACATGTTGTGTTGATGGCATGCTGCGGTGTTCCGTCCGCCGGGCAGTGTGGAACGCAGTCATCGACACGCGGCTTCAACATTACTCGAAATGGTGTGTTGAATGTGTTGAGGAAGTACAAAAACTGTTGAAAACGCGGTGTCACGCTCTGGGAATCAACGGTCAACGAGGAACCTGCTAGATACAGTATATTCCAATCTGTAGCTCGCTGGTCTGGGATAGGCAAGGTGGTATTGGGAGGGCACAGCACATGAGAAGACTTGTCATACTTATGCATGCACGTCGACCTCGACTTGCATAGTGTCACGCTGTAATCGATGGTAAGCCATAAACCTTCCTGATGAAGTATCTTCGCAGCTGCCGCTCCTGATCTGAGGTGGACCAGGGATACAGGGAGGTACAGAAGACCAGAAGTGAAGCAGTGCATGGAGAACTTGGCGGACATCTGTCTGTAAGCGATGGTCAACCGTGAACTTTCTACATGAAGAATCTTTCCACCTGCAGCTCGCTGGTTCCGAACATTGCACGGTGAGACCAATACTTCACAACAGAAATACAAACGAGAGGCAACCTGATGCCGAGGTCTCGGGTCGTCACCTCGTGGCCCTTACTTCACTCACGGCCACCGCGATCCACAGCTCCCTCACAAACCTGCCTATCCGAGTAACCCAGCCCTGTCTCGCCGCCGTCATTGGCTCCACAGGGCCAGTGCCCTTCCTGTGGGTGGAATCGACAGTTTTTGCAAACCTTCCCAACGGGGTCGCCAGCCCTGCCTCGCACTTGCGATTGGCCCTACAGGGCTAGTAGCGGCCCCACACTGCCCTACCTGCCAAGCTTGCCGTGATCTACGACCGGTCGCGCGAATTACCCGATGCGGTACCTATCCCTGCTGGCGACGTTGCCATTGGTTCCACAGGGCCGGAAGCCCCGCAGTGCCCTTTCTGCCGCGATCGATGGTTTGAGGATAGTTGCCTGATAGGGAAAGCTGTCTCAAGACCAGGGTTGCGATTGGCTCGCAAGCAACTCGCCGGTGTCCCACGCACGGGAGAGTAACCGGCAAGCGTATGTTGACATGTGCGATGCCAACGCAGCACCATACACGATACGCATCGAACACTGCAATTTCGTATGCAGGGAAGCGGATCATGCCTCAAATAGCGGAAGATCAATATCGCGTCTAGACTCCTTCGACGCCGCTCGGCCTGGAGCGCTCAGCTCGAGTGAGTGCCTGCGGATCCATGTATCCATCCCTTTGGATGTGCCTACGCAAGGCCTCATCATTTGCGCAGGAGTCGAGAGCAACACGATGAAATGAGTCGGACTTCCAGCACATGACAGAAACAGAATGAGAACGAAACCGAGATTCAGGACCCTCGCGTCATCGTCATGAGCCGTTATTCTAACCTACACTACACTCACTAGCACCTTATACGCACTGCTCGAGCAGACCGAACCCCCCAACACCGCAACGCGAAAGCGAGACTACAACCAACACCTTTCTCAATAACTACCGCATGCAGTCATTTCGTACAAGAAACAACGCAGCTAAAGTAAAAACACCGACCGCGAACGCGAACAACCGCGCACACCGATGTTGCGCGGCACCTTCCCTTAGCGTAGTCCTCATGTAATCAGTAATCGGAGCCAAAGCGAAAGCGAGCCTGGGCACGGTTCTTTGTAAGATACCCGCTCCTACCACACGAGACTGCGAACAAACCAACGCACTGGTACGCTACTCCTTCCTTTATCTCAACTCCGGACACGAAGATAGGGTTTTCGGTGAGAGAGAATGCGAATGCGGTGCTGGAATCGATGATTTACTTGTTTGGGGAGGTTTAGAGGGGCACAGTAGGTTAAGGTGTGGAGAATGAGGCTATGGCGTGGGATTTTGGATGATTACTTATTTTTCTTGGAGGTAACGTGTCGGTGGATACAGGGGTTACCCACGGCGAAGGATGCGAATCCGATGCTGGAATCGATGGATGGGCGTGGAATTACTTTAGTTGGGTAGTTGGGAAAGACATGATTAGTGATAGAGTGTTATTGTACCTGCGGCGATCGAGGGATCATGGATGTTGGGTTGATATCGCCAAGGAAGGTTTGTGTATGAGGACGGTGGAGACGTGGGAAGGATCCGAAAGCGAGAACTCTGATTGAAACTGTGACTCCGAATGAGAATGAGAAACAGAACGAGAGGCTGTGATCGATAGGATTCAAGATAACATTCCCATCGCGGTAAGCAGTGATGTCGTAGAACGCGAGAACGAGGACACTAAGACCGACTCACGAAAGCGAGATACATCTCGTAAACACGAGCATAGGCCAAGACAAAGTATCGCCGCGAATACATGCAACCTCCACTCAGGTCCCACCTGTATCTCATCTCATCTCATCTCACCCGATCTCTTCCGTCCCCACTCACTCCACTCAGCCTGATACTAAGACCGAGATTTCTGATGAATAAATTGACGGTATCAAGTTCGTCAGTCTAAACTAGCACTCATCTATGGAACAGCGACAATGCTGATCCTATAATCCATTACGAAACTCAAAAGCGGACATACAACAAAACGCTTCGACAATTCTATGAGTCTTCCATTAATACGGAAACGTATGAATGATCAAACATTCAATGTGCCAACACCACCACCACCAACACCAACATCAACCCGAGGCTCAGAAATATACATAGAACAACCGTTACCTATTCTGAATCAGTAACTGATCAGGATGATTTGTTCATTGTCCTTTTCATCACCGCCTCGCTCACACCCAGACCGAAGAATCCGATAAAGGAAGCTTCTGTTGAGGTTACTTCATCGGATTCTTCAATATCCTTTCAAGCATTAAGAACGATTAAACCACCACTAGGGGTTACGTCGCATCCAACGCTTTTCGGAACTACTCTTATAGGGGGGACAAGGGGTAGGAAGAGCCAAATATCAATTCATACATCTCTCACGAGGAGGATGTTGGGTCTAGGGTGATTGGAAGAGTAGTTGAAGAAGAGAAGGAGAGGAGAGGTGGGGGTTATTTATAGGCGTTGGGGGATGTGCGTGGGTTTGAATCGTGGAGGAGGGTGTGGAGATGAGACGCAAGCGGACGTATGATGAAGAGGGGAATTATAAGGTGTACCAGTGGTACAGCGACTGTGGAACCAAACTCTGAAAAACCCCAATATGCAAGTCTTATCTTGATAACATGGATGTAAGTTGAAGTTCAGCGTATGTATTACGTACATGGGTATCTACTCTTTCAGATAACTCTTCAAGCCCTCTTTCCCTACATTCATCGCCCGCTCAATCTCCGCCTCTTCTTCGCGTAACCTGCCTTTCCCATAGGCTAGATCGCGCTCTTGCCTTCTCTTCTCCTCGCGAACACGCCTCTCACGGTCTGCGAGCGCTTTCTCGCGTCGTTCGCGCTCGGCCCACTTCTTCGCGCGTTCTGCTTCTTCTTCGGCGGAGTAGACGACGCCTTCAGGTGCGGGTGGTAGCGTGGATATGTATGTGTTGATGAGGCCTTCGCGTGTTGATGGCGGGAGAGAAATGTAGCAGAGGTCGCTTAGTACGGCGGAGGGTAGGGTATCGATGGTTGTGGAGCGGTTGAGGAGCGCGAGAGGCTGAGCCCGTAGGAGCGCTGACAGATCGGATTTCAGGTCGGATGATCGCATGGCCAGACGCTTGATGTGGTCGCGGTATAGCTTCTCTTTGTCTTTATCTGGAAGCTTGGTATTCTTGAGCTCAGGTTCCTTCTTGTATTTCCGGCGGAACTCAGGCCAGTAGAGCTTTGGTGTCGCATGT